GGAAACTAGACAGTAACATCTGTTCAGTCTTTAATGTGTTGATCATTTCTAGTGTCTGTTCTAGACAATAATTATAATTTTACCTTGTTCTTATCATGTTACTATATTGGTCATATACCTCATATGAGACCGAATACAAACCTATATTCTGGAAGACTTGTCACCAGTGCAGATAGACACTGCTATGACTAGGAAAGTCCGAATCCCAGAATTTGATCGTGGTGACCCTGATTTATGGTTCGCTCAATTAGAGAATCATTTCAGCTTAACTAGATGTAACTCTAATGGAACAGATTATTTGGCGAATATGACTTCATCAGGTGTCCTTACTAAACCGGAGTTTATTGGATACACTAAACCTGATGTCTAAATTATAAGACTCCACACCTATAGCATACCTGACTTTAAATCCATCAACCTACATGGCTGACTAAGAACATTCAGCTTTACCAGCACTTTGACACTTAGTTTTATTCGCCGAATAATTCCCATCATATTAAAACACAATTATATGAACGAAGAATATTCTTTTCAATAATTTCTCACCGAGGGTTCCACAATTATAAATCCAAATTAATAATCCATAAAAAGAAAATTGGCCAAGTTTAAGGCAGAGTACATCATTTAGAAAACGGTAACATGTGAATCAAGGAGTATTTGTTGTAAGATTCATTTTGAAGGTGAAAATCCCTCCATGTGTACATTTGCGATTTCTTCTTAATGGTTTCTTTATTTGCACATATTGTTAATCTTTGTAATGTCAAGTAAGACTGTAATGTTTAATTTCATAATAGTTTTCTCAGTTTTTCTATCGCTTTCATTGAGTTTCTATGTGTCTTATTGAACTGTATATAATTTGTTTTAATTGATATTATTTTGGCGGCTGCCATATTAACTGTTCCATCTTTCATTGTGGTGTTTGATTTTGACTGGGATCGTGCATTTTCAGTTGCAAATTGGAGCACTTTCCCAGAATATGAAACACTTTGTGTTATAGAACAGCCGCTTGATCTATCCAGAAAGGATAGAATAACACTTACTTTTTGGTGTGTTCGGTAATTTTCTTATATTTCTTATCAATTTGCTATTTATTATAATATAGATTGATTATTGTGGGACAATTGTTTGTTGGATAACTGTGTGGTAATATTTGTTTAGGTAAATTTGTACATTTGTATATATGATGAATTTTAGAACCGTTGTTACCCAAATCAACTTGTTCTGATTTCGATTGCGGTATCTTTACTTTTACTCTACAATTATTTAGCAACAGCCAAACCTAGTTAGAACTAGAGTTTGGATTTTACATTTGTGATATAAAATTAAACCGTATCGTTAATGTTGGAGCTGACTAATATGTAGTGTTAACTTGAATCAGTTTATAAGTGAAATGAAATCGTAAGATAAATGATGATCAGAATAAATATAGTTGACATGGGGTAAGTGAGAGAATAATGGGATTACAAATCAGAAATGACGTAATATGTAGAATTATTTGAATTAGATCAGATATAGTTAATAGGGGTGAATGCTGAATAAATTTCTCTAAAAGGTTAGCAAGTGTGAAAATAATATTAATGACTGGTAAGATTTGTAGATAATATAAGTTCAAAATGAACATTATTCAAATTAATGTCACCATATTATAAAATTGGTTACTAACAAGTTGACCCTAAAGTTGGTCAGGGTAAAAGGAGCTGCTGGATATATTTCCCTTGGGTGCAAAGCTCTGGCTTTTTGATCCGAATAGCAATTGCCTCAGCCGTCGGCAGGATTCTCAGTCTGACGAAATTAGGTAGACTGCTGTTTAATTTTTAAATGCTCGATAAACAAACGAATATATATTATGTAACCCGATAGACTAATCATCTACAAATTTGTGCTGAGCATATGTAAGATAGAAATACTATCTGGTTCATCAAACTGAAATGGATGGTGGATATTAGTTGTTAGGAATGTAACGTTGATTTCCACTTTCTGGTTACTTACACCACGGAAGAAACACACATCATACTGATGGATCTGAAAACTAAACTGAGTTAGTAGTGATCCTATTGACCTGGATGTGTTATCATCGAAAGGACAGCTACTTGAGGTCAGTTACCTACAAACATCTGATAGGTAGTTTTGAGACATTAATGGCGTTATCCTGGAATTCATTCCATCAGTTTATCACCTAATTGACGTGCCAGTTATGATGGGATACAAAAGAACAAATATTCAACTAATACAGATCGATAACATCATCATGATCGGCAACAACAACCACAGCACCAAGGGTACACCTGCGAGCAATGAATAAGGTCTCGAACTTCTAACTGCGTCTATTAAGAGTACACAGTAGCAATAATTTTTGGTTACAAATAACTGTCATTATTTCAAATAAAATGCATGCATCCAGATCAATACAGTTTGCAAAATAAATTGTTCGCTACTGAGTAACTAAGTGTATGATGCGGTTGAGTCTTGAGCGAACGGCACTGGGTTCGAGTCCTGGAGTGAACATCAACTCTGATGTACAAAGACATTCAAATGATGGGTCTCAACTAAGACGAAACGCATGTTCTGAATCCCACTGCTAGCTGCCATTTATCTCTGCTCATAATGTTCGTGATTCGGTGGCAATATAAAGTCAATACAAATAGCATGAACATATACCAATATGAAATTGATCAACTGCGGTCCTAAACATCAGTGATAAGAATAGAACACACAATATAAAAATAAAGTACATTTGTCTAAACACATGGAAAATGAACAAACAAAACCCAACTGAAATATAATTCTTTTCACTTATTAAACGAATATAATTTAATGCATTTACTATACAAGAGAGCTATTTTCCTTTTTCTTTTGATTATCGTGAACGTTTAATCAACTTCTTTAAATGATCTGTTAAAGAATTAGAGTCCAATAATCGACTGGATCGGGTTTTAGTAAATCAGTAACTTTAAACAAATGTGTATACTGATTACCGACACTGGTCCTCATATAGTTTACTAATTTTAAATTGAATGAGGGAGTATGTTATGTACTGTAAGTCATTTGACAATCTGTTTGCTGTAACTGATATTTCTCAGTTTCACTTGACAATCGTTTTAAGAACTAATTCACTGGGCAAATCAACCAACTCTTGCAACGAAAACAGACATTAAGGGGACTATGTCCTCTTATAAATTTATTAAAAAGTATTATATTCAAGAATACATAAACTGGTAAATATCACTGTGGCAAGACTATAATTTATGGACGAGTAGGTCAGAAACGTTTGAGTGATCACAAAGTCACGGCGCCTATTTCCGTATCCAATGCTCACGTATGATTGATTTACAGATATATAGTATAATAAAGATTGATCACTGGATGGTGATCAATGCCATGAGTATTAAGTCTTTCTTAGTGCACATCAAATGCTATCGATCAAGTTGAAATGTGGCTATAAAGCTGATGGATGCGTGATCGAATCCGTCAGTGTTTGGATTAGCTAACCTCTTTTGTAAGCTATTCGCCATGAAATAAGATTCATTCATATCATAAACCGATCAAATGTTAGACTACTAGTCGAAACTTGGAAGCAGTGGGAAGATGTCTCGTCCTGCAACAAGACTTCGAACCAGTGCGCATTTACGACCTCGCATTCAAACATCAAACCCAATCACTTCCATCTCGAACGTGACATACTTGCTGTCTAAATCACTAAGTCGATAGTAGTCTAACATTGATCAGATCATGATTTGAATCAAATACAACAATCTACGCAACGCTATTTTCATAGTGAAATAATACACTTCTTTGCATCATCTTGAAACAAAATGAAACTTTAAAACTAACTCTAGAGTTTAAAGAAGATATAAATCAAACTATAATTTATTTTAATTTGTTCAGAAAATCTTTCACTTCCATACTGTAGTTGAATGTTCAAAAGGTATGAAAGAAGATGTGGAATGTGTTCTTCCAGTCAATTAGTAGTAGAGTTGTACATTGAATCCAATTATGAATATGTATATATCTCTATATGTATGTTTATACATACTTTCAATTTACCTCACTTAAACAATTTGCATATACTTTTTTTGATAAGTAATAAGATTATGGTATTCATTCAGTAAGTTAACATCCTATTTCAGATGATACAGTGAACATTGTTAGTATGATTTATTGCAGTAGTACGTTTCATCGATTTCAATCTACTTAATGTAATGACATTGTTTCAATAATCGTAAAATACATTTAGGTATTGAATAACGTTTTCCCTTCTGTTTAAAACTCAACATTATGATGTGGCTTCAAACATGGAAGTTTTTAATTCTTGTACATGAAGTATCATTAATTGGTGGCCTATATAATGTTTATCTAGTCCTTCATTACTGATCAAATTCTATCGATCAAGTTGAAGGGTAACATAACACTGAGTGTGCCATATTGAGATGTTCGGTTGTCGAAGAAAGTCGACGTTAAACCCTGCCTTAATTACTTTTTATTCTAATTGACACTCATCAGCAAGTTTAACCTACAATCTTAAGAGGACTAATGCTGTCTCTTGGATTCGAATACACGTTACCTAGTATTGTAAGACAACATCTGAAATATGACTAAGAGTTCGATACTTAATAAACAAATACAACAATTTTTAAGTTGTAGGGTGACATGAAATAGATCTATCATTTCACATATTTATATGGATCCCTTCAATGTATGCACAGTTCTTGATTCTAATTCCTCAACATCCAAAGTTTGAGAGTTATAATATTTATAAATCATATTGAAATTGAAGTGAACGATATTGGATTCGAGTCCCGGAGTGAACCTGAAATCTGAGATGCAGTTACATCCAACTGATGAGTACACTGCTGGCCACAATCCATCTCTGCTAATAATACATATGGAATGCTGGCAATATCGAGGCAACTACCTATCAAAGTGTTTATTTATCTTTATGACATTTTACTTTCTTTCTTTTTCTTTTCTAGTCACAAATCATTGAATAACAAAAACGTTTAATGATCCAAATTAAAGAAGCTCAATTATTACGAGCTGAATTAGAAACATGTCGACATCGTTTATTGGAAAGTATACCAGGACATATAAAATGTGATATAACTCATAATATAATTGATAAATTAGGAAGAGATTTTGTGAATGATAATCAATTGACAACAAAAACATCTAACAATATAACAAGTACTACTGATAAAACTAATTATAATCAGAATATAACACAATTGAAATTAACATAATAATCATCATATACCACTAATAAAGAATAAGAACAATCATTTGATTCGAAAAAACGTGTTTTCTGTGCTAGTTTGAAGAAAAGTCGTGTAAATGAGGGTTAGGATATCTGTCTGGAATAGTATGATTATTCAAACAACGATAATCTCCTCATGGACGCCAGTCTTGCTCTTTTTTCGGGACCATATGTAGCGGAGAAGCCCAGGGGCAGCTAGACTGCCTAATGATACCTAGTTGCATCATGTGTTTGAACTCTCGTTTGGCGGTCGCTAACTTGTGCGGGGGCAGTCTTCTGGGTTTTGCACGTATTGGTTGGCCTGTGGTAGTGATGTGGTGTTGAGCGTGATGAACGGTGCATTGGTTTTGATAGTCGACTCTTGTAATGCACTCGTATTTCGATAAAATTTCACTAAATATTTTATTTTCAGGTTTTAAGATACGGACATTATGGATTTCAAAGTCAGAGGACATTGTGCCGATGAATTGTAACTTCGTGTTTTTGTCAATGAGTTTCTTTTTACACATGTCAACTAATAAGTTGTGAGCGCTGAGGAAGTCGGCTCCGAGGATGGTGTAAGATCCAAACCTAGATTCCAATAGGTCTGGATGTGGCCGAATAACCGAGGAACAGTTTTATACACTCGTGACCCAATCAAAAGCAGAACAAGGTATTTTGGGTAACACGGTTCTGAATTTCATCATATATACAAATGTACAAATTCACCTAAATGAATATTATCACCCGGTTATTCAACCAACAATTGACACAAAAATATTCAATCTAAATTACAACAAATAGCAAAGTGATAAGAATGTATGAAAATTACCGAAAACACCAAAAGATAAGCGTTATTCTATCCTTGCTGGACAGATCAAGTAAGATTTCGTTTGAGCGGCTATTTTATAACACAGAGTGTTTCGATTTCTGGGGAAGTGCTCCAAATTACAACCAAAATGCACGATCCCAGTCAAAATCAACCGCACAATCAAATAACGAGCAGCCAATATGGCAGGTGCCAGAATAATAGCAATTAAAACAAACTAGATACAGCTCAGTAAGGAACACAGAGACTCAATAAAAGAAAGATGGTGAAACCAAGAAAATTAAACGTTACTGTCCTAATTAGCATCAAAAATGTTAACGGCATATAGAAATAAAGAAAACGTAAGGAAGAAATCACAAGTGTATGCATGGAGGAATTTTCGCTTGCAAAATGGATCCAACAGATGGGTTGTCTGATTTGAGCTACTGTAAACACCCATGTGAATCTCCTACGGAGGCCGAGGTCCGATATAAGTGATTGCTCACAGAAAGTTTTGATGATGGTGTTGTTTGCTGCGACCAGGGATAGTTTAGAGGACTCTGAGTGCCGTCAACGTGAGAGATGCAACGGGAGGATGCTGACTTGTGCTCCTGTATCGACCAAAAATCCGAGCCGGAAATGCCATCCTGGATGTAGAAAAGAAGGCTTGTGGTGAGGCCAGAAACAGGCGCCGGCATCGCTGCCTGGCCGTGTCGTTTCCCTGATTCGTCGAGTCCATCAAAGAAAATAAGCACGGTCGCGTGCAACGACGTGCATTAGTTCCGTATTTGTTATGATACCAACATATATCAGGGTTCTGCTTAGGTGAACACGAACGCCATCTAGATAAAGATCTGCGTCTAGAAGAGGGTCCAAGCTGTCTAGCTTGAACTGATGTACTGTGGTCTGGAGCGACGCAAGTTGATTCGTTAAGTGTGCTGACTGTCTTTGCACAGAAACTAAATAACCTGTATTAGATGTTCCCGCTGGAAGAGTTTATGTAATGGCTATCATGATAAGTTTCCAACATTTTATCAGCCATGTCTGCTAAATCAACAAGGTTAACTAAATTTCCGGTTATACTGAGGATTTGCCTTACATTACGTGGAAGGCGTTGAAGCCACTTTTGTTTAAGTAACGCCTCATCTAGCTTATAAGGGCCTGCTAAATGTTCCATGTATCTTAACAGCTGTGATGGTTTCTTGTCTCCTAAGTCACAGGACGTTAATAATTGTTGGAGTCTTTTTTCGTCGGAGACAGAGGTACGTTGGATTACTGCAGCCATTAAGAGTAGAAAACACTCGTAAGTGACCAGTATTTGGTGACAAATGCCTGAGAAATATTGCTCGCATCTGATGGGATCACCAGTTAAGTAATGATGGTAAATCAGTTGATGATGTTATAGTTAGGGCTACGTGTTATGTATGCCTGAACACCGATTACCACGATCCATAATGCTGACTAGTGTAGAGGTCGGATGGAAGAAATTTCGGGGCGGCCAAACCAAAACATGGCATCAGTCCATAAAGTCGCTGACGTCTGATCTGAACCATGTTGGCAGATGCAGTTTGATTGGTTTGGGTCCGCGAAACTATCGTAACCAATGGTTTGAGACTCCGTGTGACATGGTTGAGAATTGATCACAATAGCATAGGTGTATACACTCTTTGTCTTCCCTTAAACCGTGAGAATAAAATGGCTTTACACCATTTTTTCTACCAATTATTCCTTTCTTCTTGTACTTCATCCTCATACACAATCTTTCTTTTTTATATTTCTGCCTGTAAAGTCCATTTTGAAGGTTTCGTGTTTGAAAATCGCTCCATGTACACATTTGCAACTTCTTCTTAATGGTTTCTTCATTTAAACATATTGTTGATCTTTTTGATGCCATTTGAGATTGTAATGTTTCATTTCATAATAGTTTTCTCATCTTTTCTGTCGCTTTCATTTAGTTTCTATGTTTCTTTCTGAACTGTATCTATGTTGTTTTAATTGATATTTTATCTTGGCGGCAGCCATATTGATTGTTCCTTCTTTGATTTTATTGCTTGATTTGACTGGGACCGTGCATTTTGGTTGTGAATTGGAGCACTTTCCCAGAGTTGGAAACACTGTGTTACAGAACAGCTCCTCAAACGGAATCTTACTTGATCTATCCAGAAAGGATAGAATAACACTTACATTTTGATCGATTATTGTGGCAACGATTATTGGTTGAATAACTGAGTGGTAATATTTGTTTAGAACTATAAAATCCAAATTACGTTTGTGTGAAGAATAACTGTCCGTGGATGTAAAGATACTCGTTGTTACCACAATCACCTTGTTCTGACCACCAAGCGTAGAATGTAATAAGAGCGTCACAATAGTCTATAAACGTAGATGATATTCGATTAATGATTCATTTAACACATTTGCAGACATAATAGAACAAAGCAGGTGTGTGTTAGAATGTATTTAATGAGAAGCAGTTACAACATCGTGGTATGTGTATTTAAAAACGGAATGAAGTTCATTGACGTGTGTTCAAGGTCATAAACTTACACAACAAATACGACTGTTTAGTGTTAAATGTACAGAATATGAAAAAACATAAAATACATGCAAAAACTATGAAAAAGTGTTTACAAAATATGTTTAATAGTCCTATCTCCATAACCTTGAACACTTGGTAACTAGCTTCTTGCGCTTCTTGAATTCAACATAGCACGACATTGTAACCGTTCATCAATAAATAAACTCTAATAAACACATGCCTTGTTCTATGTTGCCTGTTGATGTGATAACTGAACTAGTAATTGACTATCAAATGTTGAGGGCGACAATCCTACTATTCTGAGACCATCTTCTATATATTCCGACCTGATTAGGAGTGACACATCTTTCACTTCATCGACAACTGTCTCTTGTCTTAAAAGCTCCTTGACGGAACATGATCACTCCCCAAATACACCGCTTAACCATTCAACTAATCCGCTTCAACCCAACACTTCTGAACATACTTCCTTCGCCAAACTAACCTCCGACCACCTTTCTCCCGTTAACTATGCTGGTATTGAACTAAACAAACAAGAACGTAGAGCCAATACTTCCACTTTTTCCTCTTATAGCAAAAGCGACAAACCACAGGGTTTACAGCACACCATTTTACTTGACAAACACTCATCGTTCCTGACACTAATGTTAATCAATGCACGATCTATACAGAATAAGATGACTCAACTACGCGCCTTATTACCCTTACACAACCCTCACTTGTTTTGACAACGGAAAGTTGGTTGTCCTCCGATATCACAGACACATACCTCCAAATAGACACGTATGAGCTCTCCCACTGTGATCGAGTCACCAAGAAGGGTGGCGGTTGTCTCATATATGCATCAAAAAACATGAGGGCGGAAATCTTTAGTGACCATATCCTTAGTAAAGTACCAGATTCGATATGGCTTACTGTACACACCCTTGAATGTAAAATACTAATCGGATGTATATATCGAGCTCCGAATACACCCAGTTTGACTGACACCATTATAAGTGAGTCATTTGCTAAGGCTGCTTCGCTTGACGTCGCCTACAAAATTGTCTGTGCTGATTTCAACCATCAACTGGAAGACACATTCTGGCCCACAGTGCTACGAAGGAATACTTAGGTCCTTAGACATACACGGTTGACAGCAACATGTTAATTTGCCTACCCGAAATCACAACATTCTTGACTTGATATTCTGTCACAATGTCACACCAACATCAATGGTAGTTGGCGAGAAGTTCCATAACAGCGGCCATAAAATAGACTTCTGCACCCTTCCAGTTCTTGCCATGCGTAAAAAATTAAAGACATTAAACACTTGTATCCAATATACAGACTATGCAAACGCTGACTGGAGTAACTTTCGGTTTCTTATGAAGCATTTTGACTGGAACACTTTCTTTACCAGTGATAACCTTTTAGAAACATTGGAGGCGGGTACATATCCTGAAGCCTGGAAGGTAACGTATGTTCTTCCCAAACACACATCAGGACCGAGAAAACTGGTCGAAAACTGCAGACCTATAAATATCACTCCAGTTATTTCGCGCATAATGGAAAAGGTGATACAAAGTCAACTATCAGATCATCTACTTAAAGAAGAACTAAAAGACCCATCACAACATGGTTTCATTAGAACAAGATCATGTAGTACATGTCTGATAGA